TATCAGTTTAATCAATTAGACTTACCTGTAGAACAAGGTATCAATACATTAAATTTTTTATAACTAACCTGTAATCGTTTTTTGTAAGACTATTTTCTGCTATTTCTGCTATTCTACTAAACCCGCCACGCACGCACACACACACGCACGCACACACACACGCACGCACACATACAAACACACACAGACAGACACACACACACACACAAACTCACGCACACACAAACACACAGACAAACACACGCACACACCAACACACAGACAGATACACGTACACCAACACACAGACACACACAAGCAAACATACACACACATATACAAGAATGAAAAACAAAAACACTAACGAATTTATCTTAGAAATTTTGTCTAAAATTACTGATCGATCGATTCCTGTTCTTCCCCATCGGCACAAAATAAAATTTCAGTTAAAAAACTTTAGCTGAATTAAAATTAAATAATAATTAGTTCAATTAATAGATTAATTAATTAAAATTTTTTAACTGTATTTTTATATTATAATAAATAAATAAACAAATAAACGAATAAATAATTAATTGAATTAATTAATTAATTAATTTTAAAAAAATAATACTTTTTCACGTTTATTGTTCTGACAAAACATAACAACAGAAAAAAAGAAAATAATTTTTATTATTAATATAATTTATTATTATTATTAAGTATTATTATTATTATTAGGTATTATTTTTATTATTATTCTATTTATTCTGTCCTCCATAAAATTTCTCGATTCATTAATCTCACATTAATGAACCAACAAAACAAGAGATAAAATGTGAGAGCATTGCGTGTGTGTGCGTGTGTATGTGTGTGCGTGTGCTTATGTGTGTGTGTGCGTGTGTGTGTTTCCTGTTTTACGCTTCCTTTCTTTCTATCTTTGAAATGAAAACGCACCGAGTAAACACGTCATCATCGTCATATCCTTTTTTGTCATTCCTAATTTCGTAATCATCATCATCATCATCATCATCATCATTATCATCAACAACATGTCGTCATCATCTCGTTCGTCATCATTATTATCTTCATCATTACCCGGTTTCATCGCGATTCTTCTTCATCATCACCATCATCTACTTCTTCTTTTTCATCATCATCGTCATCATCTTCTTCATCATCATTATCTTATCTTTATCTTCATCTTCTTCATCGTCATCTGAGTCATCATTATCTTCTTCTTCTTCTTAATCATCTTCTTTTCCTCTTCTTCATCATCATTATCTTCATCTTCTTTTTCATCATCATCTTCTTTTTTTTCATCATCATCATCATGTTTTTCTTCTTCATCATCATCATCATCAGCATCATCATCATCATCATCTTATTATTATTTTATTATTATTGTTGTTGTTATTGTTGTTGTTGAGGTTAGGTTATTTATATATCGCAGTGTATGGCACCTGATAGAATTACTTGGGAACTAATCAAATCTTTTTTTAATTCTTTTTTGTTCTCGAAAAGCGTTTTGCATGTACACACACAAACACACACACACACACACACACATACATACACGCACACACACACATTGATATATATATATATCTTTGTACGTGTGTGTCTATAAATATGTATAAATTTATACTTAAAAACTGAAATAGATACTGATAAAAATTTAAAATTTAGTGATATTTTGTTAGGAAAATATTATCAGTATCAACCATTATTTAATAAATATATAAATAATCATTTGTGTCTAGATATATATGATTATATTTGAGATTATTTAATAAGAATTTACGTGCATTTGAACCAGATGCTGCATAGATTGTGATAGAACATGGCAGGTGTTTTACCAATTGAGCTATTTTTCCAGCCTTATGTTAAGTTGTTGCTGCTTTCTTGGGACGCACGCTACAGAGCCATGCTGGGGAATAATCCTCTTGTGTGTTTATATTTCTGTATATTCGACTGCTGAAAAGAGAGAGAGAGAGAGAGAGAGATTAAAAGAGAGAGAGAGAGATAAAGAGAGAAAAAGAGAGAGGAAAATATAAAAAGAAAAAGAGAAAAAAAGAGAGAAAGTTTGGGAGAGAGAGAGATAAATGAAAAAGAGTGAAATAATTCAAAAATGGGAGAGAGAAAAAGAGAGAACGCAAGAAAAAAGAGCAATAAAGAGAGAGAGAGAGAGAGAGAGAGAAGAAAGAGTTAAATAATGAGTCATTCTAAAAACCACGTAAACAAAAGCGATGACCACAACAGGCAGACATCAGCCGAAAATAATTGAATGGGCAGGACCTTGCAATTATGTCCGTTCAGCTAGCAAACATGCCTGATGTCGTTTGTGCTTTGCTTCCTAGACTTTGTATGCCTGTCTGTATGGTTGTATGTGTGTGTTTGTATGTGCCGTTGTATGTTTGTATGTGTATGTTTGTATGTGTGGTTGTATGTTTGTATGTGTGTGTTTGTATGTGTCGTTGTGTGTTTGTATGTGTCGTTGTGTGTTTGTATGTGTCGTTGTATGTTTGTATGTGTGGCTGTATGTTCGTAAGTGCATGTTTGTACGCTTGTATGTATGTTTTTTCGGAATGTTTCCATGTTTATCTGTCTTATACATTATGTCTATTTATATTTGAGTATGTTTGTCCTTCTTTTTTCGAACTTGCGAACGCATTTATTTGTTGAAAAAAGTTAAAAAAAATTGGTGAAAATCTGCATTGCCAACATGCGAAACGTGATTCCATATGGAAAAGCAATATCGTGGAATGATTAGAGAAAAAAAATTCATATATCTTCTCATGAGGGGGAAAACGTAATGGTATATTAATCCACGGGCTTATTGATTTTGGTTCTTTGTATACGTTTCAAACTTAATTTCTGCTGTTAAATGTATTCGATTGTTAAGTATTGTATGTACGCATGTATGCTTGTTTGTGTGGGGTTTTGCTGCTGCTGAAAAAAATATCACTATGTCTCGTTTCGTTTTGTCTCGTTGTATATGTGTTGTATGTGTCGTGTCTCGTCATTTGTATCGGACCTGTATCTGTATGCTTTTTTGTATTTGGTTCAGAATCGGTTTGTTGTCTGGGAATGTAGGCTGGAATAAATTTTTAAATTATTCATGCATTTGTACACTGGTGGTGGTTGTAGCAGCAGCAGCAGCAGCAGCAGCAGCAGCAGTACTACTAGTAGTAGTGGTAGTAGTAGTAGCAGTAGTGGTAGTAGTAGTAGTAGTAGTAGTAGTAGCACTACAATAAGAACAAACAATAGTTATTATTATTCTTTGTGTTTGTTTTATTTTCATTTTATTTTTATTACCGCTAAAAAAAATTGATACTCAACGCACCATAATATTTGTAAGCAATTAATGGAGCCACACCACACACACATACACACACCACACACACACACATCACACGCACATACACAACACGCACATCACACACAAACACACACACACAAACACACGTTGGCGTTATTTTCACTGGTTATAATACTAACTCCATTATATCATGTTGATGCAGTTTGTAGTGTTACTAATTTAACCACCACTATTTAAATTTTCTCAGTTTTTTCAAGTCTTTTCATTTGATCTGCTTATTTCTACATGCAGTACAAGTTAAACAACTACAGCAAAAAAAAGGCTTTTTGACTCGAGATACAGGTTCAATGATAATGAGACATGATACAGGTTGACTTATAGGAACATTTCGTAAATGACATATCAGACATATCGTTACTCTGTGTCGGTATATATACATGTATAAGCAAACCCATTCGTCCAGACTGCATAAATCATCGTGACATATTGTTGGTTGTTAGTATGATGTAATGTAAGGTAGACTCATCGTTTATTCTCTGTCATTAATCGTACATGCATATATGAAAGCAAACACGATCATCTCACTCACACACATCCAAACTCACTCACACACTTCTATAATAACTCACGCACATCCACACACATCCATACTCACACACATTCACATTCACACACATCCATACACATTCACACACATCCATACACATTCAAACACATCCATACACATTCACACACATCCATACACATTCAAACACATCCATACACATTCACACACATCCATACACATTCAAACACATCCATACACATTCACACACATCCATACACATTCACACACATCCATACACATTCACACACATCCATACACATTCACACACATCCATACACATTCACACACATCCATACACATCCAGACAAGTTTGACAGAGGCCACAAATTTGAAAATGTTTAAGTAACTTTTACATTTTGACAGGGGGGGCCATGATTTGTTGTAAAGTGGCCTAAATTACGCTGGCAATTTTGCTTATTACGTCAATTTCTGCTTTACTTTTTGCATAAAACAGTGCTTTCGTTGTGCAAAAAACTAAATTTTACCGACTTTTAATAACAATACCGTTGAGGCATAAGGATATGCCCTTTAAGAGTACGGTGTGTGGCCACTGGCCATATATGTGTATTGATATATTTACATAAGTGTGTAAGTGAGCGCGTGTTTTTGTGCGCATTGTATGATATGAATGTGGCTTGAGTTATAACAATAGAGACAATTTTGTCATATTAACTCGATTAAAAAGTCGTTAACCTCGGAATTTTCCTACCGAAGCTAACAAATTTTAATTTATTTTCATAAGTGAGGCAATAAAGTGTTTATTTTTTGTAACTTGTCAGTTATAAATATAACATTTTTTTGGTTCGGTTGTTATAGTTTTTTGGTATTGTATAAATGTGTTGTTTTTAAACATGTAACTGGTGTTAGCTACACGAAAATCTATTTTTGTTCTCCAGATCATTTCATTTCATAGATTATCTTTTCATTGATTTGATTCTATGAAATTAAATGTTTTAAATGTTTAATAATCTAATCAACCAACAAATCAACCAATTAACTTAACATCCTACCGTCTAACCATCCAACCAACCATCCAACCAACCATCCAACCAACCATCCAACCAACCATCCAACCAACCATCCAACCAACCAACTAAATCCAACTCTGCAGAAATGGGCAACATGTGTGATGAAGTGAAGACAGCGATGTTCTGGAAGGCCCAATTGGCCGAGTTCCTAGGCACAGCAATTTTGGTCTTTGTTGGTTGCGCCTCATGTCTCGGCGACGAGTGGAGTCGTGTTGCTTCTCCGAGGTCTCATTTGGGTTATTTTTACTTGATGGAAAGTATGGAAAATAAATCACATTTTGACGTCAATTATTTTCTTCGCTTGTATGCATACACACAAACTGTTGTTTCAGGAATCACGCATACTCATTCTTCTAATTGTTTTATTTCATTAATTAGATTACGTTCAATTTTTACATTTTTCATTTAAAATGAACCATGATTTGTTTCGAATATGTAAAAACCGTAAGGGTTTTAACCAAATTTCGAGCATAAAAACGTAAAAACATTCAATCTTAATCAACTTCTTCAATCTTCTTCAATCTTAATCAACTTCTTCAATTTTTTTCAATCTTAATCAACTTCTTCAATCTTCTTCAATCGTCAATTTAATCATCACCAGATTGGTCGAAATTTCACTGGCATTCGGTCTGGCCGTAGCAACGTCTGTTTGGATCTTTGGTCACGTGAGTGGGGGCCACATTAACCCGGCCGTCACGTGTGCATTCCTCATTGCAAGGAGGATTTCCATCCTTAAGGGGTTGTTCTACATCCTCTTTCAATGTTTGGGCGCTATGACTGGTGCTGGCTTCTTGTATGGTCAGTTGTGTGTTTATGTCGTTTATGTGTGTGTGTGTGTGTGTGTGTGTGTATGTGTGTCATGATGTGTGTGTGTCGTGATGTCGTTTATGTGTGTGTGTGTGTGGTGTGTGTATGTGTCATGATGTGTGTCATGATGTGTGTGTGTCGTGATGTCGTTTATGTATGTGTGTGTGTGTGTGTATGTTGTGTGTATGTGTGTGTCATGATGTGTGTGTGTGTCGTGATGTCGTTTATGTATGTGTGTGTGTGTGTGTGTGTGTATGTTGTGTGTGTGTGTGTGTGTTGTGTGTGTGTGTCATGATGTCTTGCTTGCTTGATCTCTTGATGTTTGTTTGT